CACAAGCATGTCAAGGCAAATGCAAAAGTACATGATGAGTATGAAAGATTAAGAAAAGATTTTACACAACTCAACATAAGTGATTCTACTCATCAACAGAACATAAGTGAGCCAGCAAACACATTGACGATTACTCTCCTTAATATTAGGTCTCTTAACAAACATAGTATTGACGTAAAATATGATTCTGCTGTATTCAATAGTGATGTTTTAGCTTTTACAGAGACACAACTTTTTGCTAATACCAATGGTAATGAAATAATCGAAAATTTACAACCGTTTACACTTTTAAGGCAAGATCATCCTTCTGATAGGTTCTCTAGTTTAGCAATATGTACTAAAAACGTCCAAATCCAAGAATATGAATATTTCAGAGCTATAAATGCAATCAAATGTGTGCTCAATGACCATGTCAATAAAATAAAACAGTCTATTGTATTACTTTACAGAAAAAAACATTCTAATATTCCACAATTCATTCAAAATATTAGAGAAATATTAATTGATTATAACATTGATATAATTCTAGGAGATTTCAACATAAATGTTTATGATCAGAATGAGATAAGATCACTTGAAACGCTGATGGAATCATTAAACTATCGTCAAATTGTACAAAGTCCAACATTTATATCTTCTGGAAGTCTACTCGATCATGTTTATGTAAAAGAAACTTACAACAATATCATCACTTGCTCAGTATTACCTGTTTACTATTCTGATCATGATGCAGTTCAAATTTCTATCAATTCGACATTAGCTCAATTATTTCAAACGCCTAACATAACGACCTAAATCGCCATTCAATACATTTCAAAACAATAATCTTCAATGATCAAAATACGTAATCTTATATGATTCGAAAAAAGTCATAATATCTAATCTCATCAACACAAAGCATAATCAGTAAGTCTATATAGTTTGCAAACACAATTTTTACTTGAATTTGTTGAAACATACCTATTGCTTTCTCTTCTCCAAAGAGTCACCAAGCTTGCACGTATGAGAGGATCGAAATACTTGAATTCTCATTGGTCAATATTTATTTCATAAATTCTGCACCAATCAGAACAACCTGCCTCTCAAATCGCCTGTTTTCTAAGAGGTTATTTTTGAAACAACCCAATCAGATGTTAGGATTTTCGATCCTAGTTGCTAGTATAAAAGCAGCATCCGACCACGTTTCTCCAGACTTGAACGAAACACTCGAGGAAGGAAGATGTCTGGTAAAAAGGTCACGGCGTCGCCAAACAACATTCCTACATCAAGTCCATCGAATTCTTCTCCATCCAAGAAAAAATCCGACCTTCGAGCTCCTGGGAATGGATTCGGAAAGAAGATTTCTGGCCAAAAGACTACAGCGCCGCCAAACAGCATTACTACATCAAGTTCACCGTCTTCTCCTGTATCAATGGAATCCGATTCTCCAAAGAAAAGACCATTGTCCAAGAACAAATCGGACTCCCAACCTCCTGGCGACGGATTCGGTCCTAAAGTCGTACTTCTTGAGCAAGGGATCATAGGCTACGTTCACAATCTATCCCATCCAAGAAGAAATAGAGGAAACACTCTGGACTATTGCACGTTCTTGTTACAGACAGCTACAGAAAATATAGAAGCTCTACTTTACAGCACGCATAAAAGACCTCTACTTTTGGAAAGTCAAGATCGACACACTCCTGTTAAGCTGACATACTTTACGTACACTCCTGACAACGGCAAACTTATTGTCAATGACATGACCACCATAACCATGGCTCAGCAACACGAATATTCATTCCAATTCAAGAAGCCAACAGAGCAGCAATCAGATCATGCCAGTGTGTTAGACGTGCTAAATACGCGCAAGGAATGGGAAGTCGTGACGGTTCAAGGAAAGATTTTTGGAGTGAAAGACCAACGTACCGTGGGGAGTCCACGTAAAAGACTTCGTTTGATGGAAGCTTTTCTTGACGATGGATCTGGRAGAATTCCCATTGACATATGGGAATCACATATCGAGACTATAAAACCTGGTAAGTACCTAAGACATTACAACGTTTATAATATTTCAAATATAGTTAAATAAAAAAATTTTATTAACATTTCTTTTATTTCATTTTCGCAGAGCAAGTTTATACACTAACCAACGTCCAAGTTAGAGTATGGTCCGGAAGAAAGAAGCTTTCAACTACAATTTCTACTGTTGTCCAACCATTTGATGATCCCACGTTACGTGAACTCCCTACTGAGAATGCCGAAGCAGAGCAAGAGCAAACCATGACAATCAGCACAGTCGATTCAATACAGAGGGTGATTAAGTGTTTTGCCTGCAAGCACTGCCAAAGGAAAATTATCCAAGGAACTTGTGCAGATGTAATAACCTGTGAACATTGTGGCCACATGATGAAAACAGAGGCATGCCAGACTAAAGTTAGTGCTAAGATTGTCATATTGGTTGATAACCAAGAATGTGTGTTTAAACTAGACCATGAGCTACTTCAGAAGATGTACCCTGATGTAATATCTATGGATACTAATACCTTGGGAAGACAGTTGCTTTATGGCCTAGACAATCGAAGTATTCGATACAATACTGAAAGCTTAAATATCATGGACATTGATGTTTAGTCATGAAAACTCGAATGAAATCTTGGATATTGATGTTTAGTTATCTTAAAAACTGTTGAGAAGTAACCTAGGTTAATAGTTCAAATTATTTGTTAATTATAATAAAATATGTTCATAATAAAAAATATTTGACCTATCTTGATTGAATTTTGAAATCTTAACTATCCCATACAACCTTTTTAAAAATTTTACATCCAATTTTTGATATTTTCAAAGGAAAATTCCCTTCTCATAGTATTAATTGTTTTCTGAAATAATCTCAAAATACTTGTTATCTCCCAATCTCGGAAGGAAGAATATTTCATTTTATTCATACTGAATATTTAAAATGACATGACAAAAAGGCTCCTTGATAAAAACCCATTAATAATATGCATTACGACAGGAAGCCCATGTATGCGATCGCTGATCGTCTAGTTTTGCTTGGGGTGAGATCTATTAGCCAGGTGGGATTAATTACAAATACACACGTCCAAACATTTTCAAATTAAGTTCTTTCGACAACTATTACTTGGAGTAATCCAAAGGCCCTTTGAACTGAGAGCAAGTATGTCTTGTTTGCTCAGATTATCAGCGCTTGCCATTCTCTTGAATGTCGCAGACAAATGATTTAGTTTTAACTAAAATTTAACTTACAATTATAGCACTTAAATTTTCAAAAAAAAGGTTGCTTTATTTGCTCAAGCTTAAAAACTGTTAATTTTTTAGTTTTTCAATTGCAGATGAGTCATTTATTTGCACAATTATTTTAGTTCTTGATTTTATACACTTTATATTTGAAGTCTAATAACATAAGTCTCATGAAGCTTTCTAACCAATCTTGTGCCGGTTTTTTTTTCTGAAGTACGGGGAATTATTTATTCCGCATAAATGCATAAATACATACCATAAAAAAACGTTATCTACCGAAAATGGTGGTTACATTTTTTTGGAACAACATTTTTTTGGAAGTGAAAAAAGTTGATCAAATGATCTCCTTTACGGTTTCCTTTGCCATCTTGAAAGGTAGCTGTGCTTTTGCAACAAAGCGAGACGTTGAGCATGCAATAAAAACTTCTTTCACACCTACAGATCTACGCATTGAAAGTATTGCAACAAATATATACGCTTGGAAAAGTATTTCTGACGTGGAAACTAAGTTAACAGTTTGTTTGGATATCAAACAAAAATGTGCACCTGAAATGAATATATAGTTKCCCGCCCGAAGGCTTGGAATAACAATACAGACATTTAATTCATCGCCACTCAGCAGTCGATCGACAAACTGGCAACTCCAAGACAATTTATTTTTAGTATTATCTTAATGAGTTCAGTACTGCAATTGATGAAGCACGCTATAAATTATGAGTCCGATATAAAAACTTTAAATTTGTGACTAGTTAAACTCATCGTAAATGATGAGCTTGGCGTTAAGTGCACATTCGGTGGGATGGGTGGAGCCTGGCACAAAGTTTGCGGTAACCATGGTCATCCTGTCACCACCCACCGAACACCCGTCACATTGACCACGATCGATCAATGAAATACTTACCTCTACTTACCTGGACCAGTTGAAGGGAGGCGGGTTGGAAATCGAAGTCGTGTTATAGCGATGTAGCGAGATAGCGTAGTATAGCATGTGATAGCAATATAGCGAATGACGAGTATAATAAAATCTTGTTGAAAGTGTGGACGATTAACTAGCTAAAACGTGTGGCCACCAAAGAAATATCAGAGACCTAAGTCTGACGCGTTCCTATAAACGTTTCGTTTCACATAATTCAAACCACCCGAGAGTAAGTTTCACTATTCATTGTATTTTCATTTCACTGTTGAATTCTTAAAAACGAAAGTTCTTTTTCCAGGATTTGAATTGTGTGTTTATCAATACGTTAGACGATTGCAATCGTTCTCTTCGATTCTCTGTTTTCAGTATTACTGAGAATCTCAGCTATTGGGTGTTAAGAAGTGATTTCTAGAAGTTCTTTTTTGCAGTATACGATAATAGTGCTCTTATGAATTAACATTTTAACTTTTTATACCCGGCGGCCATATATATTGACATTAGGTCTATGGAATATCTCATCATTTGCATGTGTGATTGACAACAAGGTAAGCAARACCTATTTCAAATTATCGATGTTTTTAGAGATGGATTACATTTTAMAATTATTTCACATTTTACTATTTTCAATTCCCTCTATCCTAACAGATTTATGCAATATGTAAATTCGTGAAACAAATAAAATGCAAATTAATTTGCACTGGTAGATGTTTGTATATTCATATTCATCTTTCTCTATATATTTTATTTTGGCTTGGGGTGATATCTATACTAAGCCAGGTGGGAATAATAACAAAAAAACACTTCCTAACCTTTTCACATTCAGTTCCTTCGACACACAACTTGGAGCAGTCCAAACATCCCTTTGAGATGAGAGCGAGTATGTCTTGTTTGCTCAGATTATCAGTCCTTGCCTTGTTTATTTTGAATGTCGCAGAAAACGGTTTCTGCCATACTTACCCTYCAGGATACGAAAGGGAAAAGGGTCTTCTTTTTGACTTTTATCCTGCTCAAAAGCTTACCCTTCCAAAGGGAGCGATGAAGAAAACCAAGTATGTTAAAGATAACATGGAATGTGTGTTCGCTTGCATGAGTGTTCATTGGTGCCGTTCAATCAATTTTAAAATCGCTCCTCGAGCTAGCGGTCTCCACGCCTGTGAGCTGGTTTCATCAGATCAGTTCMCTGGGAAACAGTACATGGCTCCAAGCAAAGCGTACAACCAYTATAGCGTGAAGGTATGGAAACAACTGAAAACATTTGTCTTAACATATATTAATTCACTTTGTTCATCCGAAATGCTAAATTGCGAACAAAGTTTCTTAAGAAGTTTACCAATTAAGTATGCGCTCAGTGTCGGTAGACTTGGTTAGCTTTAAAACTCTTACAAATGTATAAAGTTAAAAGGATAGGCGATCAGAGTTAGTTAAAAATGAGAAGTTCTTTTCGGAAGAWTGCTTCTTTAATTTTCAAAATGAGTCTCATTCCATTAGCTGAATTATAAACTTCAATTTCTGTCATTTCTATTCGGCTAGTTTATGAGCTAGCCCTTTKTACGTGTACTAACACTKTGCATAGCATTGAACATATTTGTTTTTCATCCGTTAGAATCCATGTCAAGAAGCACCTTGTAGTAATGAAGGCAACTGTACCTTCAAAGAAAACAGGCAACATTATAAATGCGACTGCAAAAAGGGATTTGAGGGCGAAAACTGTAAGAAAGGTATACCATTATTGTTGATATATATTGTCAGTTTCATGACGKATCCGGCCGACACAGGTTTTTCATTTGTTTCATTATTTKCTTGTTTGTTTAAATTTATAGGGATCAAAAAATTGTGMTAGTTTCGGAAATAATTTGACAATTTCACGTTACTGTTGWGGACAGGAATTCCGGACATTTCTTCTAAGAAAAGTATGAATCACTTTAAATTTCAACTTTTTATCCGGTTTCCGAAAAAAGAAGAAAAATCTCTATCTTAAAGCTTTCTTCCAAAAAATATATAACTGCATGTGATGAAACAACTCAAGTCTCCTTTCACCCTGATCTACTTTTGGTAGTTTGTAGCTGTGAAAGTAAAAAATGAAACAAMTGTCTGCTATATCAAGTTTGTCTGTTTTAATTTCAGACATTGACGAGTGCTCGRCGGGYGAWAATACTTGCAATGYYAATGCACAATGCACCAACACAATTGGATCATATACATGTCGGTGTAACCCAGGYTCTCAAGGAGATGGACGGACATGCTCAAAACAGGTAATTTAAGTTTAGCTTGAGTTCATTATTTCCAACTGTTCATTTCTTTCTTTTTTTTACCTAAATGTCTAAATATGATAAAGTAAGGGTGCTTTCCATTTGTCAGAACTGGCTGGCTGTAATTATCTATCATTCCTATTTAGTTAGGAAATTCAACTTTTCAAATTCTACCAATTATTCAATAGAAAATCTCTAAATGACTGAAAAATGTTTACAAAAGGCATTATATTCCTCTAAATAGAGCGGACTGGCCGGCCACTTCTGCCTAAATGGAAAGTAACCTAAGATGATATTTAAAGGACCATTGTAATAGATAGAGACTCGTTCCAGCGATAAGGACAGCAAATGATGCGTTTCTTGAATATAATATTTCCATACTTGTAAAATTGTTTTTGGCCATTTMTCCCATTAAGATATTTTTCAACAGACGAATATGATTAAAAAACAATAGCGCAATTTTATTTTATATAATAATGAATAAATATACCAACTGACATCATCAAATTCGCATAATGTTTTTAACTCGAAAAATTTGAAGCMTRTATTTAGTAGGTGATTGAATTTTCGAAATAAAAATCCCTTTAATATGCGCCTTCAATCAAAATCAGACACTCATACTCGTGTTTTATTAGCGTTCCATTAGTACTCAGTAGGATGAAATGTAAACTTTTATTGTACAGCCATACTTCCAAGACTCACAAGGCTGGACTCTCATAGCTCGGTTTTCAAATAACGATACTAAGAACTGGATGAGAGACGATGCTTCCTGGTGGTACAATCTTACAACTCCACAAGGAGACGTAAATAACACAATTGTGAACCAAGACATGATCTCCGCCGCCTTCTGGTTTTTAAAGGGTAACAACATCAAGATCACTCGCTCTGATGATCCTCACCACACGGCGTTGCTGCAGACAACATCAAACTGTTTTTCCACACAGACCTTCCGTTCAATGATCTCAAGCTATGGCTATTTTACGCATGGCACGGAATGGGCAAGCAATCGGTGTCGTGGTAGCTGTCACGTGTCATACGGGGGAAAGTATCAGTCGACAAATGGCTTTTCACAAAGTAATTGCAGTAGTGACATACAGAACAGTAGTTACATTGGGTTCTGGTGTGATTGGAGTGGTGGTGATGGTGCAGTGATGATGATTGGTGGAGGAGGGTCAGGGTGTGGAAGGGCCGATCATGGCATCGCCGTTACAGAGGAAGAGGAGGCAGCATTTATGGAGGGCAGCAATCAAGGCGAATGTGATTTTGGCAATGAGGTTATGCATTCTGATTGTACCACATCTTACTCTCTTAATTTGTGGATTAAGTGACACCTCAGAAAAAAGCCATAGCACAATCATGAACTACTTGTTTGAGAACAGTCTGTTTATAAGAACAACAACACCTTATTTACATTTAAGCTAAATAGATACAAAAAATATATAGCTGACCGCAATTTTAGAACTTTTCTTGGCGGGTGCAATAGATAGAATACTATGTACAGAAATAAAGAACTGGATATATTTACAAGTAGTACATGAGGAAGAAAAAAAGTACGACGATAGACATTCATTGATTCACATATTTACAATTTGTAGAAATAAAGGAGCTTGTTCAGTATTTTGGGATTGACTATAGAAGAAGTGTGATCTATTCTTAAAATTGTTTAATAATACGATTCAGGGTTTGAAAATGATCCATACAGTTCATCAGGYAATTCTAAAACACCAAAAAGTAGGCTTTTATTTGAGATCTAAATTGAAAATTGAAAATCTAAATTGTTTATTTGCAAAGCCTGCAAACTGCTTCATTATACTATACCTAATTTAATTATTGTTTCATATTACCAGTCTTTTATTCGAGAATAGGAAGTCTTTTCAAGAGAATTTTAATGCTTACAAATACTAAATAAATTCCAAACTTGTAACCTTGGATCAGGAAATGACTTCAATACTACAAAAAGGTTACTAAAAAACAATTTTCAGAAATGTGTATTGTTTGTTTGACGTCATAAAATCTATTACAACTTATATTAAAATGTGATATTTTTTTCTCAAATATCTGCTATTCAATAAATCTTAGGAATTTTTTTCCCCTATATTAGAAATTAATATAAGCTTACATACTGAAAACCGATACAAAAAAGAAATGTGAATAAGCTAATTTCAGTTATCTATTCGTGAGCTTTTCACATAAGCCCGTGCGGGTTTCTTAAGCTCTCCTCACATATATGTATACATGTACACTCTAAGAAATTAAGAAATTAACTGATAACTGGAAAAAATGTAAAATACTTGTATATATTATGTAAAATAAAATGATTAATTGATTAAGAGATTATACAAAATTATATTGCGCTCTCTAAAATGGTATTGCGAGTGGATTCAATGAAAAKTTTTTTTGCATTATCCTGGCATCATGCCATTTTTTTCATGAAAAACATATCGTTTTTTCCTTTGCTATTGAGTGATGAAGCACAATATCATAGTATCTGATATTCAGTGTTACACAATTTACAGCTGTTTTAAAAATGAGAAGAGCTGCGTGTACTTCTAACGAAAGGAATCTATTTTGTGGGATTAAATCGATTCATCGATCATCGTGGCTTAACTTTACAAAATTTACCTGTTTTATTTTTTCAGTCGACTTGATTGTTGTTGTTGTTGTTGTTGTTTTTGTTTTTGTTGTTGTTCTTGTTTAGTGACCTTACATTACTGGATAATGTCGATAGAATGCGCCGCTTTCCATTTGCCAGAACCTGACTAGTGCGACTCAAAAATAGCATCTCTCACAGGTGTTCTTAGTCTCGCCACGGAAATTCACTCGCCAGTGAGTGGCGAGACTAAGAGCGCCTGTGAGAGAGGCTAACTGAAAGAGCTGTATGACCAATCATTCGTGTTTCTTCAAGAGCAATATAAAAATTGTATTCTATCGCAATCGATAAAATGAACTTCATTATTGAATGCAAAATTTCATCACAATTTTATCTAATTTACACTTTATATATTCTGTTTCCGAAATCAAAAAAATAGCTGTCGATAGAATTTAACACTACTAGCAACCGGTAATATGTAATCACGAATATGACTGGAGTTCCAAAATGTCCAGGCAGGATCAAGTTTACCAGCCAGGATGAGTTCAAGTCGAGCTTGTACTCCATTTTTTTWTTTWTTTWWTTWWTTTTYMWTTKKTTWWTTWWTTWTTTTTTATTGTTTGTTTTTGTAATAAAATTAAGACAATTAAGTCATATATTAAACAGTTATTTTTTCTGGTAAAAGTCTGCTCAAATCAGATTTTGTTGCTTAGTTACTGTTATCAAGATGTGTTCATTTTTATGTTTAACTTTTCAATGTTGCAGTGCATTCCTTACATAATGAAACCAAAGGAGAAACCAAATGAGTGATTGATATTTGGCAGGATAAAAAATATTTCAATGATATGATATTTAGGGTGATTAAGGTGCTAAACATTTTCTCTTCTTTTGCTCAGAATATAAAATAGACTAGAGATTATAAGATAAGTTAATTAGCTAAAAAAAAAAATAAAAAGCTACGTCTAAATGGAAACAATTAACTGATTAAAATCAGTGCGTTAAATTTTCTGAAACAATTTTTGCAATTACAATTTCTTAAACCCTAAATCAACTTTTTATTTATTTTTTTTTTTATATATTATTATTTTTTTATTTTTTTGCTTTATTTTTTGTTTTCTTTTCTTTTGTTTTTCGTGGGGTATATAAGAAATAATAATTTACTCTATAATAAGGAGCCAAAGATTAACTAACTACTTCAACCTTTAAAAGTTAGCATTGTCACCTAAGCACCCCAACAGACACCCACCATAACATATCGATCGTTCGCATCGTAAGTTTCACTAAACGAGTTTGTGAAGTTTCGCTGCAAAGCTAGCCGGCTTTTAGACTATAATGCAAGATGATCTCGCTGAATAGATTGTCGATCATGAATATTAATAGTCTGCCATAAAGTAGCCGACTGCGAAGTCCATGTAATGAGATTGTCAATCCCTTTAAACTATTTATCATCGAACTCTATCTGATAACATCCATAGTATAATGTTGTTTGTTTTATCCGTAGTTTATTTATAGAAATTGTACAAAGTCAAAATACTATAAATTTGAACTAAATCTGAAAATGAAGCGGACCGTCCTTTTAATCAACATTTTCCAAACACCATGATCTAAATATATTGTACAAATTAGTGCAATGAGGTAAGTTACAAAATTCACGGATTAAATGTTTTTAATTCTCTTTTCAAATGTATAATAATATAATAATAAATAATAATAATTTTATTTTTATACAGCGCTTATACAAATCTGTTCTAAGCGCTTTCAAATTACAAACAATTACAATGACAGAGTCATGGTAGACTGCGAGCTTAAGATGGCGCCTCATGGCTGCYRCTYTTWGTCYGTCCSAAGATATCAAACTTAAAAATTACAACAATAAAAATTAAAATATAAATGACACTACAAAAAATACATACAAGGAATAAAGAAGCATGCATGATGGCCGGTGGCTCAGATGAGCTCATTCGCCCTTTGACAGGTCTTGTTTTTAGTCCTGCTGGGAGTCATGCCACCCTCTTCACCAGTTAGACTGGTGGGGGAGCCGGTTTAGACGCCGACGACCCGTCCATGAGGCAGGTTGTACTGGGTTACAATGTTACCAGTAGCAGACTCATCGTCTGAAATGAAAACAATTGTACAACAATTGAATGTTGTAAATTTGCAACTTAAAAAAGATTTACCATATGAGTATCTATGAAATACACCTACTTGCAGAAACGTTGTCATAGAAAATAGAACATTAGAATTTAGTAAAAAGGAATAAATTAAAACAAAACAAAAGAAAGCGTTCAGCCTCAGTRATCTTMTTTTGTCTTTTTAATTTATTCCTTTTTACTAAAATACAAATGTCCTATTTTTTTATGACAGCCTTTTCGCAAGTAGGTGTACCTATATTTCTCCAGTTCGTAAAGTTGATATTTTCACTAGTGAAATAACATTGTAAGTTATAAAATCCGTATCTCCGCGCGCCCATTTAATATCCTCTATTTTACAGATATGTCGACATCATTGCAGAAAGAGAGCCAAAAAAGGCAATGTGGATTAAAATGACAATATAATATATACACGTAAAAAAGAAACTCTGGAATAAAAAGAGGGTCTCAATGTGATTAAACGGCTGAAAAATTAGTTGTGAGTCGTGAAAATGAGAAGAAATTAGCCGTGAGGCGTGAATATTTTTTATAGCGTGAGGCGTGATTCAGTTTTGTTTCTCGGAAGGACAGTCAACTCCAGGCGCGGGCTTGTAATTTTTTTTTGTAAATTTAAAAAATGAAAGCTTGAGTTGAGATTTTTCAAAATTTTGCCTTGCCAGAATTTTTTTTCGGCCCAGAATCTTCCACTCCCCACCCAACCCCTCAAAATTCTAATGGATCGCCATCCACCTACCAGCAAGGCAGTACTTACAACGTCCTGCAGAAAAGTCAGGGCATGGACAAAATTTGACATTTGAGAGTGCATGATGATAAAAAATTATAATAACTGATTTTCTATAGCGTACAAGGGGACACTGTGCTCCTACACTCACCTATCTCTAGCACAAAACAAATTACATGAAGAAGTAATTAAAAACGTTGTTTTCATTTCAAAAATTTCTGAATGTAATCTAGTTAACCGTGATTCGAAAACATTAGCCGTGAGTCGTGATGGGTACCACCACATTGAGACCCTCTAAAAATAGAAAAAAAATACAACGAGATAACATGAGATAGATAAGATAAAAGTTTTCATTGTTTACATAATTAGAAGTGTATCACAATTTATATGGTTATGTATCTACGTTTTACACACTCTAAAATATCTGTATAAATATAGTTTATAAATATAGTTTCCTCAGCGAGCGCTCAATTATTACTTTTGCTACATTCTGCCCAAGCAATATATTCATAATGCTAATTTCTATACTTTGAGGTTTTGTGGGGAATTCCCCTAAATCCATATGTTTGCCTATTTTATGCTAATTTACAAACTAGAAATTCCCAAATACAGACCCCAAATACACACAGACTACTCTGGGATCCCGTATCGACCCGACTATACTACTGATGTATTATTATATTTTCTAATGCTTCTGTGGAAATTATCTTATGTAGAAGTAATTGTAGAATAGCTTCACTACACTACTATTCCGATTTCTCATTTAAAAATGAAAGAAGGAATACCCTGCTTTCTGTTTTATCACACGAGGATTATACGCTTTCAAATTCAAAGTTATATCTGTTGATAAGCTTTGATAAGACTAATCCCTGCTACAATAGCAACTGGCATTCCTCGGGTAGATTCTTAACACAGCTCAGATTTAAGAATAGAATAAAAGATTACAAAATGTGATTAATCGATCTATATCTGTATTTAATTGCATTTAAATCATATAAATACTGGATATAACAGAGCAGGTTATCATATACCTTAAACCCGGTATACGAACAAGGTATCTTTGCAGAGAATAGCATTCCTGGTAAGTTCTTTTCTTTGGTCTTTATTTCGTATAATTATACTTGATTTTATTTAAGCGTTGCGGACTTGAGAACAGTACAAAATCATTATCTTTCGTTCTGCTTGCCTTGTCTCATCGGTGCTATTCTTGTTCTTCTGGTTCTCATGTTCGATTTTTTTTTCTTGCAATTCAATGTCTTCGTAAAGCTGTTCTACAACTCTGCTTCTTTTTCTTGTTCTTGAGTTTGTCCTCCTTGTTGTTCTAGTTATATATTTTGCTCTTTGAACTTAAAGTTATGAAAGGTAGCAGTTTAAGTTTCTTTAAGAAGTCCTTAAGGCGAGGCAGTCCCTATGAAAGGGTATGAAAGTTTTTGCTTGCAGGCGTCGTGAGAAGTCAAGCAGGCAATAATGAGGTTGCTTTTGATTTTATTTGGAGTTCTTTTCGCTGTCGCTATTAGTGAAGGTAAGCATGGAATTTTTATAAAAAAAACTTTTATACCATTATTGATATAAAACCATGAATGCCCAAACCAACTTACTTGCTCGGAAAACGATGAGCTTATAAACTTTGAATAATTTAATTTTGTTTTTACAGCCAAGATATCTGCATCTCCTAACTACAAACTTTATAGAAAACATTCAGTGGAAAATTCTTTAGAAAATCTTGCAAATTCATGCAGCGCTTGATTTCTCTGAAAAATATATAACCAATTACCCTTTTTTATTTATGGGCTTCATTTTTTTTGTGGCTTGAAATTCGATTTCTGACTAATTTTCATGACATGAAATAACTTTTGGAATAAAAGTACCTCGACCAGACGACTACAATGAACAAAACTCTTAAGACTCACCGAGATGCCACCCTCCCCTCCCCCCCCTAAAAAAACGAACATTTTTACAAAAGTTATTGGAGCTCGGAGCTCTCATGATGTTTTAGTACTTGTTTAGCTTGATGTGTTTTCAATTCGTGCTGTACTTTAACTACCATGAGCTAATATTATTACAATGCCGTGATGCAGCTCGGCCTACTCAACCTTGGTCAACAGCCCAGCCTTGGTCAACATCGAAGCCTTGGTCAACAACGAGGACTCCAGAAAAAGGTTTGAAAAATGACATGGTTCGATCTTTTACACTGATTCAGATGAAAGATCAGATTTAATTTTTATTTTTGTTTTCAATGACAGCTCTGAATTTGACCATAGACTTATTTTGCAGAAAAAAATTATGTAAAAAAAATTGGTCATACATGATTTTTATACAGACAAACCTCAAAAGAATACTTGACTTTAATTTGGTACATATTTTTGTTTTTCAGGATATGTCTCTGTCCAAACCAATTGTAACTATACTAGTAGTAACAGTCACAGTGGAGAGATTACTTCCCCTTACTACCCATCAAACTAYGGAAACAATCAGTATTGTTACTGGTTACTCACTTCCACTTCAAAAATAAACCTCAAGTTTGTGGACTTTGATTTAGAAAATTCTTATGATTTTCTTACTGTATACAACGGCAATGGCCCAAACTCAAACTCTACATTTGTTCCATTTACTGGAAATGAACTGCCAATTATTAATTCAAGCTCCTCCACCCAGCTGTATATTGTATTTGAGACTGATGGATCGATATCGAAGAGGGGGTTTCGGGTTAGATATGAAGGTAAGCGTAAACTGAACTGTTTAACCAATACTGTACAGTATAACTGATATTTGTGCAATGCAGCTGGGCCTACTCGACCTTCAACATCCCGGCCTTGGTCAACATCCCGGCCTTGGACAACATCCCGCCCTTGGTCAACAGCCCGGCCTTGGACAACATCCCGTCCTTGGTCAACATCCCGGCCTTGGTCAACAGCCCGGCCTTGGTCAACAGTACGGCCCTCATTTGCCCCAAGAGGTATTAAATTTAACAACAATTATCTTTCAAGACAGACTCGTCGTTAACATTTTTGAGATTCAATCATGTTCCTACAAACTTGGACATAAATGTTGACAGTGTTTATGCGAGACAACATTTCTGACAGTATTCGTCGATAAAAACCTTCCTCGCACCCCTTCTTCCTCCCAATTCAATGTTGTGTGGCTTTCGTCTCATTTGCTTTCCATTCATAAACCCTTGCTTGTAACATTGATGTGGGGGGGGGGGGGGGGGGGGGGGGGGAGAAGGAATAACAGAATCCCCATCAAGGATTCCAACAACAGGGTGTCCATTAACAGCGAGGACTGCAGAAAAAGGTTTGAAAAAGGATATGGTTCGATCTTTTACACTTATTCAAATGAAAGATCGGTTTCCGTTTTTCAAACGACAGCTCCAATAATAATTTGACAAAAAATTAAAAAGAATGACTGCTCTGAATTTGAGAATTGAATTATATTGCAATTCAAATTATGTAAAAATATATTTTTCATACATGATTTCGCTGCAAACAAATCTCATTTCAGAAAGACTGTTTATATATTTGTTACTTAAAGTCAATGAATGCTGGACTTTACTTTGCTACAT